CTTGAGCAATAAATTCATGTCTATTGTTATGATAGCCATTAGAAACAAGGAAATCAGCATAAAAATACATTCATTCCACATTAATGATTAGAAACATGTGTATCCATTTCGACATAACCTGTGATCATAAAATCCATTCATAATTTATGATGCCATAATTACAGATTTATGTCATCGTCTTACATATTCATTTTCCAACAAAACATTACTTATTCGAACAACTTCATACCGCATGATGTGACAGCTCAGACGGTATATCGAACACATTTCCTAGTTAGAGTGGTACATATTTTGGAGTATCACAAAACATACCCGCCTCTCTGATCAATTTTACCTACAATGTTTTAAATCTTTACCTGTTAGTGTCACATTACGCTGACACAACACTAATGACGACACTAGTCCAGTATCTGCAACACTTAGTCGGGTCTGCTCTGTCACACTTGTGGCAACTCGTCAACTGTTTTGCACAGCGGGCCCTCTCTGGACGCAGATTAGTTCAATCTGGGAGGTTGTCCGTGTCTGTGACAGCTGCCATGTTTTATGTACAAACGGAAGGAGATGGAAATGCCAGAGTAATAAGCACAAAAATTGACGATTGCCACTGGTAGAGACATAATGACAGCTTCCGACTTGTTTTTTCTGTTCAATTTTTTGGCATGGTGTTTGTTGAGCAGACAGATTCGCATGATTAACCGAGTTAAAAGCAAGATTCCACTTTCAAACTGTACTCAAGGGAATCCTACCGAGTTTTCTGTGTGGCGGATGTTTGTTTACCTGGGATTGTTCCCATGCCAATTAATACAAGTTACAAGTTCCAGATTCTATTTTTCGTTTACAGTGATTATGTTCAAACCATATAAATCCCATCTATGACGGTGACGTGATCGAAATATTAATTGATATCGTAGTCAATAATGTGTTTCTGAATTGCCGACATTGTCTTCTCATACTCACACTCCCTTCTATGTAAATAGAGTACCTGATATCTCTGACGTGTTTCATGGAGCATCTAACGCCTTAAAGCTTGAAACAGTTAACGATAGACATGTGAAGGGCAATTCCAAATCAGAAACAAAATGATTCAAATCAATTCCCTATTTCCAACTTGTATCACACTTTCCCGTGTTTGTTCAGGTAAACGCTTAAATGCGTCTGTATGTGTTCGTGACTGGTGACAGAATCACCCTATCACGAACACCTGATATTGTCAATATTTGACCGGCATTCATAACACACTATCATGATATTGTCGGAATCAACTGACTTTATGTTCAACAGATATTTCTAATGACTGTGGTAAGGCGTTGATCTCTTTTACTTACTGTGATAGAGAATCTACACAAGATGTCTACCTGGCCCTTTTCCCCATTCCTTCCATTTTTATAAATTTGAAGCCTGACCTTGATTCTACCTGTTATTGTAGCCGTGGTTGCAATAATGTGTATTATGATTGTGGGCAGCATTATTATATATTAACATTATATACTAATATATTATATACTAACTGGGTTAAAAACAATGTCGGATGGGACAAGATCCGCAAATCTGAGTTGACACCATGAATGCCTTTCTTGAAATTAGACTGACTGACGGACTGAGTTAAGTTTTACGCCGCTTTTAGCAATATTCCAGCAATATCACGGCGGGGGACACCAGAAATGTGGGAAATCGAACCCGAGTTTTCGGCGTGACGAGCCAACGCTTTAACCACTAGGCTACCCCACTGCCCCCTTTAAATTAGAAGCTGATGCTTTCTGTTCCAAAGATCGCAGAATAAATAATACTCGCAAATATGAAAAACAGTTTATTTCCCAAAAGGTTCCGATTGATATTTCAGTTGATAATCATTTAAACACCTTCAGACACAAAATGTATATAGTTTGTGAGTGGGATTATATCAATGTAATCTAACATTTCGATAATGTCAGTAGAATTGTTCAGTGAGCTCAGTAGAATGTACTATTCAAGGGTAGTAGAAAAAACTCTATCTTTTTGTCAGTTTTAAGAATATTCTGACGTAACCACACACTCATTGCTGGCAACTACAAACGACTACAGCCGACTTCCAAAGATTACAGGCAGTACATCCGTCACTTAACCTCTTTTTGAAAATATTGCAAAAAAACCCCAACCTTTGTCAGATTTAATAAAACAGGCTGTTTGGTGCACGTGTAAGAAGATGTAAGAAATGATGGTTTGTGTATTCAGACAAAAAGAATTCAGGGCATTCTTTCAGAGAAACACATGTCTTAAAAGAGTTACTGAAAAAACACCCCAAGCTCCAGCGTCCCGCGTGTGCAAGACAGTAAACATTTTAAAAGAGCGTCTATTGACACTTGCTCTATTTACGGCATAATACAATATTTACTATTTAAAAAAATCACATCTTCATTATTTGAAGTGGATGTGTACAAGTATCATTCATACCTTCTGTTTGCCCTTACTATCCCAGGATTCTGGAAAAGCAAAAAATGAGTGTACATAGGTGATTTGCTGAGATCAATTCTGGACCTTCCACAGTTCTACCTTGTAGCTTGTAATAGATCATGAACGTTTATGTAAATATGGATTTAGTCATGCATTGTACTAAATGTCCTATCACACCGTGGATAGAGATTAATCAAATGATTGATCGAGTGTCGAGCTGCGTCAAACAATTATTAATTGTTTGGAATGAATAAATGCTATTTACATTCAATCCATTGCTGAATTTGGCAACGTCAGGTATAATTGCACGTAAGCTATTTCACAGATATATACAACTGACCAGTGACTGATACTATGAGCGACCCGCCATACCAAGTGCCTCCATGGTTTGGCTCCCTCCTACTTGTCTGAACTCCTACATCCGTATGTCCCCGCACGCAACTTGCGCTCAAACACACAAAATCGATTGGTCATCCCATCCTACAACCTGAAATCCTTTGGACACCGATCATTCTCTTACTCTGCACCTGTGTTTGGAACTCTCTCCCCATGTGCCCTTAAAAGCTCTGACACAATTGACATTTTTAAGTCCAGACTTAAAACCCACCTTTTCTCAGTATATTATGTATAACTTCATCTGTAAATACTCCAGTGTAAATATTCTGTAGCGCTTTGAGCATGCCTTAGGGTGTGGAAGGGGCGCATTATAAATATGCATTTATTATTATTATATATATTATACGGTGTGACCCATTTCGTTGAATAGTAGATAACCACTGGCTAGCTATTCTCGAAACATTCGTAGCCTTACGAACTTCTTAAGCCAATTCTTAACACATTGGCTCCGATCAAAGTTAAGAATTCTTAGGGCTACGAACGTTTCGAGAATAAGGGCCCTTGTTCTTAATAGGATACTGTTTCATAGTCACCTGTCCAATTAAATCACTTCTTACGACACACGATAAAGTGTGTGTGTGTGTACGAGCGTAAATGCTGTAACGACTGACTGAAAATTGAATTGAAAAAGTACTACATAGCGGAGCAATGATCACGAGCAAACTGTGTTCATTGTCACAACTAAGAAAGTGTGATCTCTAATGTAACATATTACATTTGACATTTGTTAACGTTCAATTACTTGTACACCTATATTTTACAATAGGATTAGAATTCTAGTCGGAATATTATTTATTGGTATGGTAGAATATTGGTTATGTTTTATATGTTGACATAGTATGCCTTAAACATTCATTCCATACCACAGCTAGCTTTACTCTCAGTTTAAAATCCATCGATTGCCAAACTGCATGCTTACAACACACCCGTGAAGGTCGGGTTAGAATATTGATCTTCAGTAACCCATGCTTGTCGTAAGAGGCGACTAACGGGATCGGGTGGTCAGGCTCGCTGACTTAGTTGACATGTCATCGGTTCCCAATTGCGCAGATCGATGCTTATGCTGTTGATCACTGGATTGTCTGGTGCAGACTCGATTATTTACAGACCTTCGCCATATAGCTGAAATAATGCTGGGTGCGGTGTAAAACCTAACTCACTCACTCACTTAGAACACTCTTTGCTCCAGCGCCAGGTAGGTTCTATTGTCCCACAGCTTAACTTCAATGTTCAGATTTTAAGCTCACTTGCTCTCTGAAGGAAGGCCACGTACTGTTCTCAACTATTTATAGAGAGAAGAATTTCGTACATACCACGACTTGAGGTTGGTTCATAATGTATCCAATGTTGTACATGTGAATAGTTTCTGGTTTATTATAATATGAAATATGATGTACTGTATAATACTATTCGGATTGGATTAACTTGACATATATGTCTTGTACATAGTTGTAGTTGAATTCACAGTTCAGTAAATTATTAAGATTACCTGTACAAATAAAATAGTAAACTTTAACCTGTGTAGTCCTAAACATTGTATAACTGTACGTCTGTAATGGTTAGTAAATTGCACGAATGCCTCTATGTTTGATATGAGTGGTTGATTGACATATATATGGATAAATGCATGTGTAGGCGCGTTGTATGTTTGATTTAGGTGGCTAGCGTACCGTCACTTTTGAACATTATTATATATCACGTGGACATATATTGTTTTCCGCATACTTTCTTATTCATTTCAGCTTTGTCATTGGTAACAAAGACCACTTGTTACCAGCTTGGGTTTGTTCATGAATTGCCTGTGTTCCCCCAGCAGTGAATGGGTACCCGGTGGGAGAAGTCATACGACTGTTAACCTTTCAGCGTCTCACAGGCAGCTTGGTATATCCGGGGAAGTGCGTGGAAAGAGGCGCTTTATAGATAACCATTATATTATTTCGCCAATGTGGCATGTAACTCCACAGCAGATGCATTATATGCATTCTATCTGGAACTAATTGTATGATTTCCTAAAAAATGCGTGCAGAATGGTTGTTTTGCTCATTATACTATTGTATTAATATTGTGTAGCGCTGGTAACGTATATATCTACCCCTGGTTTGGGGGTATTTTTGCGTAAGACGTGATGTTTTGTCAGTCAACGAACACATAGCTGTTTGTCCGTCACATGAAAGAACAGTTTGAGTTATGATGCAGAAGCCGGGGCACAGTGAGTAACCACTGCCTACTGTAGAGTTCTGCATACTTAAGAAAACATGTATTTGTAAATATACTACACCCATTCTCAATCCTCCACATGAGAGTTGTACTTAACACATCACCTCAGGAAATCGTATTCGTCAGAAAATGTCCAAATATTTCCAATGATTAAAATCGGCGCATTGTCAAGATCGTTCCATTACCTCTGACAATCCCTGGTCAGTTTCTAACCATAACCACATTGCAAAAATAATTACACTTTTTCAATTACCATATGGTTTCAAATAGACTTTCCCGATAACTTGATGTATGGGTCTGTGTTGAAACTGTCAAACACACGTTGTGAAGTATCAGATATTAATCACAAGAGAACCTTAATATCTGTTGGATGTGCCAGCCAGACTTGACAAGCATGTCTGTAGAGGCTGTTCTGCCAAGCTGGGATACCAAACAGCTCCTAATCAAGTCGGTAAAGCATTTTACTGTCAGCAACACACTGACACTTATATTCCAGTTTGAATTAAAGCATAGTCTAGCATGCTTCAGTTTAAGTAAAGTGTTTCTGTGCGTCATCTATTGGAGTTAGCGAGGACTTACTGATTTGAAAACGTGTCAAGAACGTCTGGGAGTTTTTCCACAGGAGAATTTTCTATATCAGCAGTTAATAACTTCTATCAGGACTTGTATTAAACATATTAATGTGTTCTGTATAGAACTGTTAATCGTAATTCAAACGGGAGAGGCAGTGCGAGCCAATTAAAATTAACACAAACACCAAGCGCTAGCAAACGTCCTGGATCTCGCCCAGCTGTTGCATCTGAAGGCATTCCCAGATCGGAGCTGAAGTAGGTTTGGGTGCTCTTGCTGGTTCCAGGGTCATGTCTGGATCTCCACTAGGTGTTGCATCTTCTAGTGGTCAGAGAGTGTCTGACATCTTTTGTACTAGGTGTTGTATGACTAGGTGCTGACAAGGTGTCGATTCGCATGCTCCTTACATGACCAGCACATTAGTGACTATGTAAGCGTTATACGGTAGAGCAGTTCTTTATGGCTAAACATAGAAGTCGGACCACGTCAGACTTGACGTGCCATGATGCGCATTGCCAAGTGGAAAGCACATTGTCTTGTTGGTCAGATACAATGAGTCCTTAGTTCTGACAGGTCTACAAACTTTGCTGACCATTTCGTATTTTGAAGTAACCACCATCAGTAAAGGCAGGGTATTTTAGGGATCAGTCCTTCTCTATTATATTAAGATGGGACTTTTCGGTATACATCTTGCTTGTCAACTTTATACAAATGTCTGCAGATCCGTCGCATCATAATTGAACAGAGAAGTTCCATAACACGTCTTGTATAGTTGCTTAGCAACTTCTATACTGTCGATCAAACAGTTCACACTTAAACATCCGTTATTTGCTGAGGCCATGGTGATATAGATCACGAAGGGAAACACCAACCAAGCATCTTAATGTCAGTTGCTAATTGTAGTACTTGCATCATAAGGAAGATCATCGTCACGGGACATTGAAGCCAAGTACAAAACAAGGTGAGGTTGAGGGTTCGGTGTAGGGGGTGGGCGACGGGCGAAGGGGGGCCATTATTAACACTGCTTAGATTGGTGATACAGGGTGCTTGGGATCAAGCCCCATCAGCACCTACACTGGAGCCAAACACACCCACGTTGCCGGGTTCATCGTCCTGGTTGATCTGAACTATAGTTCACCTTCAACTCCAATATTGACGTACATCCGATCCGTAGTTCACTCGATCGAATGCTCAATACATTGTAGAGTTAAGGTTATGTGAACCGATGTGTTGCTTTCGTTCGATGCTTTAACTGGTCATTATAATACTTCTAGAAGACTCAGCACCAAATGTGACAGCAATTATGTAGCTGATATGGTTTCTTAAATTTTAGTGACATCGATTTCCAGATTTCCATAACTATTCCCACCCTCATCAACATCTCCACCACTTCACTATAACCAGGATTGTGTGGGAACAAATAGTATTTGCACATAATTAATCACATTTTCCCTTCTGTGTCCACGTGTTCTTCAAAATAGTTGCATAATCTAACCATTGTACAGGACCACGGCCACGGGATAGATGGATGTGTTGGTATTATTGATGTCAGGGGATCACAATAAAGGTACCAGTAAGGTTCCTCCATATTATAACGCTAGTCACAACAGGGACACTGATATGATTAGTGGAGTGCATGGCTTCTAGTTGAGATCATAACGGAATACGTGTGGAGCATAACTAATTTATTGATATGGCCACGTTTCATTTGCACAGAATTGGCTGATGCACATAGGGTATAAAAATTATATCCGAGTCAAAATGAATCCATATGTTTAAACACAAATCCAGAAATATTATTGCTTTTGGAGAGTCACCAACATACTGATTCCGTCTTTGAACAATAGGGATGTTTCACTTCAAGAACACGCTATATATACAAACAACTATTTCATACAAAAGCGTTTTATTGTTCCGGTAATATATTCATAACTTGGCTGACTTCACGCGTTTATTGAAAGATCTGTATTGATGTTCGGAAGGAGTGGTTGGAATAGATAACATTGTCCATGCATAGTGTATAGGTGACAGGTCACTTCCGGTCACGTCACCTGACATGTGATCTTGGTATTGAGTTCATGTTAAACGTGGGGTTAGTGACGTCATAAAGCACAACTTCCTGATCGTCTTCGTGTCGTACAGCGCTGTTCCTTACTCCATATATACAATAGAACATCAGACCTGCAAAAAAGACAAATAAAATTAAAAGCAGTTCCAGCTTATCAAAAGCTAATTCAACAAGAAGGATTGAAATCGTTTCTGGGCCAGGTTTACTGAAAGGCTCGGCATATAGAGACCAATTAGTAATCTCAATACCTGGCTTCCTGTGGAGCACACCACACTATTCGCACAACCAGAATGTTATTTTGGTAATTGTATATTGACGATAGAGATTATCCCGTGAGCTAGGATTTACCCAAGATGAAGGTACTGAGCCATTATTGCCTCAACTGTTGTCAACATTAAGTAATCCATAATATGTTGGATGTTTGTTAGTGTGTATGTCCATGTACTTAGTGATGTTTAAATAACGCTCTAGCTGACAATTAAATCTGAAATAGGAGGAACGTTTTACTGTGAGTTTGTGAGGCCGAAACGAAACCTCATAACCACAATGTACGACAAAAGAGAAAAAACCCAAACCAGTTCAACAATTATGGAATAAATTTCCTTAAGTAAGAAAACAAACTTCATACTTATTCCGTTTGTCTTGAATTCATATTAGATTTTATATTAATCCCGATTACACCAAGTGTACACAGGTCTCAGTCAATATTCACTGCGACAGGACCATGGCAAACAATGCCTATATCATTAAACCCCGGTTCACTTAAATTACAATGTTTGAATAAAATGCATTCGCCGATGAACATTAATATCACACTTTTATTAAATTAGTATGCCTGATTAAGAACACTCGTCCCACTTTATTCGGGAAGCTCGACTTACTGACGATTATGTGACAATGATACATGTTCATGACTTTTTAATGGATGACGCACGCCAGAGCTTTTTGATCAAAATGATAAATGTGTGTATAACGGTTGCTGAAATAATAATAATGTTTGTTATTATTGCTTTTAATACTCACCCAGAAGCATCCATAAAGCGAACCTCGTCCATGCAAGTGACGACAGGGCTGATAGTAGAATCATACTGAGAAGCATTGACAGCAGGGGAACAAATGGAACATAGGGTGTCTGGAAATATAGCTTTGTCTTATTCTGTGGCTGCTTGGCAATAAAAAGACTAGAGGTCACCATGAACACTGCCGAGATACAAGCTAGGGTTATTGCCCACCAGGATCTGGCCGTCGATTCAAGAGCAACGGCAATAACAGACACACACATGAAGACACTCGAAATTAGGTAGGTCAGAATAGAGTGCCTTGTCGACCTCCATGTGGACTCGTCCGGGTCTAAACAGGTGTAACTTGGTAGACGGATGAGGCTACTGAGACTGGAGAGGGAGAGGCTGGATCTATTAGTTTCTGGTTTAAGGTAACTCCTCTCAGAGGAATCGAATTTGTAACCAGTTTGAGAATAGGGCGTATTGCGTGCACATTTACACTGGCCGTTCAGCTGGCAAGAATCCGGTTTGTCAGACGAGTTTGAGAACCTGTTTTCAGTGGTGTAATGCAGCGTCAGATCTCCATTCATCATCACCTCCAGCCTGGGCGTGCTAGGGTGGGTGCAAGTCTCGCACATTCGCGCTTGTTTTGTGTAGTCAACAGAATCCTCGGGATCCGTATATTCCCGATACACTCCGACAACATCCGGGTGGTAACGAAGGCATAATACGTTTAAAGCACTGAGGAAATATCCAGTTAAAGAAGCAATTGACAACATTTCGATTGCTGGATCAAAAGCTACGATAAGGGCAATTCCCGCAGAAAATAATCCCAAAATAAGAATCCCAACAACTGGTGTTTGTGTCGAGGAATTGACACGTGACAGACCACGTGGTAAAAGTCCGTCCTCACACATGGCGTGAAGTATCCTCGAAAGCGGGTAGAGTGATCCCAAAATGGCGGCTGAAAGTCCAAACACAGCTCCAACGCCGATCACATACTTAGCAGCGAATATATGTCTTCCTTCATACGCCTTGGCTAAAGCAGCTTTGTCGGACAGGTCTACCCATGGGAAGGCCAACGTGAGCGATGTCGTGGCACCGAAGTAGACAACGAAGGTGATCATAATGCTGGCGACAATGGCAGTAGGAATGGTGCGGCAGGCGTTTTTTGTCTCCTCACCTGAGGTCGCCACGTTGTCCACTCCGGTGAAGGCATAAATGAGGACCGCTGCTCCAGATGTCATCTGTGAATAAGAATTTAAAAAGAAAATGAACGAAGCATTTAATTTCCAAAGTGCCTGATCGCGGCATCATGTGTTTTATAATTTTCAGTCAACACGCTCATCGGAACTAATATCACGGACTTTCTAATGGGTTTCTAATGCAAACCAATACAGTCCGTCAAGTGTAATCTCCCCTTTCCTTTCAAATTTCAATGAAAGCGATTGGATTCAAAATTTTTACGTCATTTGCCGTGTCCCGAAAATGCTCTCGAATAAATAAAACAAATGTCTATTTCTTGTAGGCAGATTCGTGTATGTTACAATAAAAGAGTAGTGAACGTTTTTGTCCAAATATCAATATTGCAAGCTGTTCCAGTGTGTTATTAGGTTTTCTCGATTTGCTCAAAATACATTATGAATGAACTGCATTGACACATGATGTTTACAACAGATATCGTGTCAAGAGTAAATGATGCTTTTCGCGTACATACCGAAACACACTGGGTAAATCCAGTTGAACTGCAAGACCTATCGATATTGAGGAATGTTTGAGTGTGTTTGAGTACAATCGATCCTGATCGAACCCAACACATGCCCATGTGTAACTTCCTGTTGATGTAGGGTAACACAGTACGACTCAAAATACATGAAAAAAGCAAACAACCATTCCCACGGTCGGATAAGAAAAACAAACAAATTCATGATCACCAAACATCTGTATACATGTATACAATTTCCATTACCGAAAGAATACTGTCATAGTTTTTCATTCAGTATGTATACAGTCGGCCTTGTTGGTAGTGTGATTATAGCAACATTTACATATCACCAGGTTAGAACAACACAGATTCTGGTTGGGACTCGTCCCCGAATTGGAAAAAACAACAACTATTGCTTACCCCTCTGACTCCGTGTGGGAAGAAGCCAGGCGATTTGGTCCAGTTGTGAGTCTCCACGTGGAAAAACCCCACGCAGATGAAGGACAGCACGAACAGGCCGGCGAGACATGTCAAGATGAAATTGATAACCGAATATATCTGAAAAACAGGAACGCCAATCACATGTCACCCGAGATACTCTTCGAGGAATCACACAATGCCACATGGAGATACTCTTGGAGGTATCACACAGAGCCACATGTCACCCGGGATATACTCTAAGAGGTATGCCACAATGCCACATGCCACCCAAGATACTCATATAGGTATCACACAATGCACATGTCACCCGAGATGCTCTTAGAGGTATGACACAATGCCACCTCACCCGGAATACTTTTAGAGGTATGACACAATGCAACATGAAAATGAAAATTCTCATACAAACGTACATAACAATATTTTAGTACAGTTCTACAACATATTGGTCATTGTTAAAAGCGTAACGCCTACGGGGTTTCATCGTTGACATGCAACTCTTGTAAGATGTATTAAAGTGGATGTATTATACTTCTGAAATCTTCACCTAATATGAATACATAGACACAAAATGGGAATATATAGTTTCTACACCTTGCAATTTGTGTTAACTCACAACTCTGAAGGAATAATTACATTAGGCATGGTATTGGTTATGTTAAGTAACACATTCAACGATTTTCCATCGTCAGTCCATGATATAACACTAATTTAATATTAGATTTCTCATCTTCAGCCCTTATGAGAAGGTGTTCTTGCCTAATACATTTCTTAGCCATTTGTGAGCAAGATAGGTAATTCGGTAAATGAAATGTTGACCTTTTCCTGATGGAAAAAATCACTATTCCTAAAAGGAATTGTCTATTTAAAGCAACATGTCATTAATTTGTTGTGGCCTAATAACAATTCTCCAGCGTGATCAATTACTGTCGTCTCCGGACTATATCGCGAGTTAACTTGATTCTTTCCTTCCGAAATCCCGATCAATTACGATGTCGTCTTCCGTAATGACTGTTTTCCGCCTTCGACCTACCCACAAGCAGGTGATTATAGTGCCACGACAACGTGACATTCATACAAGAGTATTCTTAGAATATTAACTAGCGGGTCTTAAAGAATAAGATGCCTCAACACTTACGATAAGACGGAGGTTATTATCAGCTGCTAGGTTTTATTATAAATCTTCTTTTGTTTCCATGAATCTTAAACGCGAAGGATCACAATAAAGACCGACCAGCGATTAAGTGTTGACAATGTGAGACTTTTTCATGTCCCGTCGTTCATATTTAGGAAGTATTAAGTGTAAAATTAGCAAAACTATTCCTGACATGTTTCAATCTGGTCCTAAAGAAAACTGCCATAATCCCAAGTGCACTGACATTTTCCGAGGCAATGTCATTAAGTGACCATCTCAATGCAATCAGTGTTATGAAATGCTCATCTTTACACGGTGCTGAAGCGACAAAGACGTTGCACAAAGGTTGCAGCAATTTCCGTCGAATTCCTTTCCAATAAAGATGACCCCAAACTAGTTCGCCATTTCCAGTTTTATCTTGGATGGGTAATAATGAGCAGGATATTGATTTTATGCCAAAACACCAGTTATAATGGGGTAGTGTGAGCGTTTGGCGAGGAGCAAAATAACAGTGGAGCTTCTGCAGAGAAAACATCAGTGGAATCAAGGAAAGGGCACAGTGTGTATGTTCCGTTGATGCAATATTTGTATTACTTGTGGATTACAAGATCCTTTCACACAGCATAAATAAAACTAATGATACAAGTTGTTTCTAAATCCAAAACAACACCCTTACATGTGTAATTTAGAGATATTGTTTCCATTAAAAGATTATGAACTGTTCGACAAATTGATCGATCAGACTAATTTGAAAATGTAAGATCGTCAAAACAGATGTTCTATGAAGTGTCATTATTTTTCATTACCTTGATTGCTTGGATTATACATGCTTTTAACAAAAATGCGCACTTTCATTCTCAGGAAGAGTTAGGGTCCATGCAGGAAGTAAATGTACTGTAAGTCCCCATGGTTCCTAGTATGGTGATCCTATAGACTGTTTTTATTTGGACTGTTCTCTTTAATAAAACCCCATTTATGATAACGTGCTATTTTTACTTTATATATCTGTGATATAACAGTAGTTTACTGTTCTTCGTCATCAGGCTTTAAATTTCCAATTTCCAATTTTAATTTTAAAATATAATAATTAATTCTTCTCGTCACGATATGATTGAAATATTGCCGATGTGACGATAAATATTAACTCACTCACTCACTCATTCTCAGGAAGACATAGATATTTAATCAATGTTTACAGCTTAGATTTGGAATATGTTGATAGCCCATAAGCATAATATTATACGGCTCTTTGAGTAAAAATATGAATGAAGTAGTAAACATGTATATTTCAGTTTCTAGATGCTGCCACAGCGAGACTTACCCTTACACTCGGTACAAGGAACAGGGTGGCTAGCAGTGATATGGACAACGCTAGCACATCAGGGTATGTGTCCAGTATCCACCAGTTACCCCACTGAACTGTCTCGGACATATACCTGGAAACAACACAGAATGAATGAGTACATTTGTTATAATCTGGGTTTCACCAAAATGTTAGCAACAATTCAGCAATATCACAATGGCAACACAACGAAGGTTGTTTCTTATATTGTTCCCTTGTGAGGAATCGAACCTGGGACTTTAGCGTGATGGCTGAACACAATAACAAATACGCTACACCGCCACCCCACACGGGTTGAAATACGGTAGACTATGTTTATAAAGAACATTCTTATAACGAACTGATTGATATAACGAACTCATTTTTTGATCCTGGCTACGTGCTTTGTACTTGTGTCGAGATATGTATAACGAGTACGGTTATAGCAAACTACGATCAGTGGTCCCGTCGACTTCGATATAACCGTAGTTTACTGTAGTTCGAGTTATCCAATCTTCTTTTGTTTCCATGAATCTTACAGGGACCAGAATTTCACCTAGAGACAAACGTATGTTCGACACAAGGGGGTTTGACTGTATATTGAATCCGTACCCAAGAAGCTCCTCTGCATCACGTGAAAGGTGACTAAACTTGTCGATGCATCGGATGGACGGATATTCTAAACACGTGTTACCTTCTGGGAAATAAAACTTACCGAAATCAAATATCTTTTAGCAACGTGTTTTCTCTGTCAGTCAATTATATACACGGTGAGACGAAGTTATGTGTTAAAAAAAAGTAAGTTTGTCTCGGGGGATAGCCAAAAGAAACTCTCTATCACTTATCACCGTAAACATATATGGTATGTGTTGAAAAAAAAGTAAAATGTGTAATTGAATATAAGCTTCATCCCCGCGGGAAACAAGTATACAGTATGTGTACATCAATTATAGTTCATCAGTACGAAGAAGAAATGTTATTTATGAGAAAGCACATTCCTTCCTGGTCTAGAAGAACTATGGTCAATGTATATTTCAGATACTACTTAGAATTGTATTCATTTATGGTATTGTATTAAGTTGAACTGAACTAACCCGAATGCGATGAGATATGTGATTACTTGTTGTTTTCCTTAACGTGAAATTGTACTCCCTCTCGTCCATGTCAATAACGCGTTAAATGTTGTCTTGATTTGTAGAGGCAAACTGTCTGAAGAAGGTATAACGACAACCAAAGAACGGATTGGTACTCGATTCCCATAATATCAAGGAGAAATTGAATTTAGGTACGCTGACAGTAGCTAAGTAACTAATGACTGTGCAGTGTTGGTGTACAATGTACGTCAAGAGTCCCGATGTTCTTGTTTTATCAATTGTAAAAGACACAGATTTATGGTCAAACATTAAAGTTTCAATGTATATTAAATAAACTGTAAAGAAAATTCTATTGCTCAGGTTACGTGTAGCTCACAACACATATGTTTCCTTCATGTCGAACATTCTGATATTCGAGAAACCTACTAACTTGTTCAGACAATTATTATAGGATATTTATATAGCGCACATATCCACGCAGCTAGTACATGCTCAAGGCTATGGTGTTTTTTCCCTCGATCATTGATGTCAATCTCAACGGCACATCGTATTATCATTCTCAACTCTAGGGATCATACAACTCTTGCAGCCACTAGACGCACCGAGTTAATGCGGCTTTCCCATCCTTACGAGGTACCCATTCACAGCTGGTTGGACTGGGACACATAGTCACAGTACTTTGTCCAAGTTTACTGCACGTTGCTGTACCCGCAACTAGGTGTTTGTATGTATTCATATGGCCACCATCTGGACATATACCAACGGATTCGTGGGTTCTTTTAAGTGCACGTGGTTGTGTACTGTACACTAGGGGTTGTGACAACACCGAAAGAGTCTGCACACAAAGTTGGCTCCAATGTTTTTACACCCGGTCACAAGTGGGCTCGATCCCGACACCTCAAGCTCGCTGGATCACTACTCTGGCGCATTATACAGCTCGCCCAACATGGTCACATTTAAGCCACAATTACAAAATGGACTGACAATGTAGAAAAAGAGACCTGACATTATGTCCGACATTATGATGTCATGATTACTACAAAACTAAAGTAGTCTAAACAGCGGCGTGGACGACGTCAGTAAGTTCAGAAAAGGTTCAGAAAAGACAAATTAGCAGATGAGTCCACTTTCTGAAACCGTAGGTTAGAGATTATTCAAGGCGGAAGTCAATATGATTGAAAAGTTTTAAAAGTTTAATATGTTCGGCCGTCGTAGAAGAATAAAAAGAGATTCATAACTACTTTGGTGTGAGAGTATTCGCCAGAAATCAGCGACACAGTCAACATAACCTTTGCGATAACTTTAACCTTTAAATGTCCACTTTCCTCCGCAAAACCTGGCTCAGGGCATCCGGCGAGCGCCGTAGTCCATTAGAGTGTAATGGCCAGTGATTTGAGCGTCTCCCTCGAGACCCCTTGACCAGGCAGTAATAACTGGATGGACAAAGGTGCCTCTCGTCTCCCCTCCTTGTCACCATCTGAAGCACTTGCCAGATTTAGAAGCTCGGGATAAAACGTTGGCCATCTATCTAAGATCGCAGGTCGGCTTCAGGGCATTCTAGTTTGCCGACTGCAACTTTTCCGCTTCATCAGAGAAGATGGAAAACTTCCTTCCGATCTTTATGCGCGCTAGCTGATTACTTTGGTTGTACTCTGAGATCCATCAGAAGCGGAACAGAATGCAGGCAGTGATAAACATAAAAAACCTCTCTGACGACACAAATATAAACTAAACATTACTTTGGCATCGAATGTAAGACGTGTCCATTGCTGCTTTGTAAATCCCAATTTGGGTATTGTAAATGCAAATACAAATGTACAATCAAACACTGTTGTATCAAACACTGTTGTATCGAGCGAGTGAGTTATTATTTAACGTCACATCGGCAATATTTCAGCCATATCGTGACGAGCTGTTGTATCGAACACTGTTGTATCAAACACTGTTGTATCGAACACTGTTGTATCAAACACTGTTGTATCAAACATTGTTGTATCAGACACTGTTGTATCGAACACTGTTGTATCAAACACTGTTGTATCGAACACTGTTGTATCGAACACTGTTGTATCGAACACTGTTGTATCAAACACTGTTGTATCAAACACTGTTGTATCAAACTTTGATGTGTCGAATTTTCGGTTGTCCAGAAGCAAATTCTTGGTACCTTCGTATTCTGTCAACATATGCTATATTTCTGATTACACTCTCCCAGTAAAATACATATTCTAGCACTTCTAGCACCCAAAACATGACATGTTGTAATTGGACGCTTTCTAAAAGACATTGTGTATGCTCGAGTATTAGAACATGTACTTGGGAAAGTGTACTCCTAAACTGAGAGTTTCTGCCCCACGACGAAGCATATGTGATACATCTGGTCCCGATTTCTCAACACAAACTTAAGTCTGAGTTTTGACTTAAGTTAAGAGTTTTTACTCAAATTTAAGAAAACGCATAAAAATGCATTTCCCAGAATGAACTGAAATCGATATCAAACTCAGTTTCAGTTTGGTGGATAGATCACTTAAGTTATTTGGGCTTTTATATTTTAAAAATGCAGTTGAGTTACAAATTCAGCTGTTTCAAATGTCAAACTCAGTTTGAAATTTGAATGAAACCTTAGGCAAGTGAGTTTGTTCAAATTTGCCTCTGTTCACCCAGCAGAAAAAATACCCGGTGGAATAAGTCATTTGACTTTTACCTTCAAGCGCCTAACAGGCAACGTGGGTTATCCGGGGTAATAATGTGCTGTGTTATTGATTGTAAGCGCTGTGAACATACCTAGTGTGGAGTTTGGCGCTATAAAAATGGACACATTATTATAGATGTTGTAGAACTTCGAATAACTCGAGGAATTTGCATATGTAAAGTTTGTGGTACTGTATTCTAAAGGTAGGCCTAAGACTGTTACCATGGCAAATAACACAAGGAATATATCTTCTGTGCCTGTGATCATGGTTATCATGTATTAAGGAGCATGTCTCTTCAGCGTGGACACAATGGTGACTGCATACCAGAGTTGAATGTCAACAACGTTCGTCTCACAGGACTTAACAATTTCGTTCAACAATGATAGCGTCCCTTGATTTAGAAGTGGATTATTATGAAACGGTCCCTTGTTTGATTCTTGGAGAAGTCTATATAGTATTGAGCTGCCATGTAAATTGTCGATGTTTTTGCGGAATACCTGAGAGAAATGGCATCATGTTGGGATCGAATTGAAGAGACAGTTTGGGCACTCGTGTGTTCAATCAGGGACGTTCTCGTTCACCTTTCCCTGTAATATTATATCCTTACACAACCCATGGGTGCTTCTATAGCCAGCCAACCTTCATATGTTATCGGTTCCTCGACTAAGCGATGGATAAATGCTGCAACTCCTACATTATTCACGTCAAGAATGAAGTCATGACATCAACAGAGCTGGTTAGTGGTCGCCAGCTGTGTCTGAATAGTCTGTGTGGAGAAGTGCTGCGAACATTAATTCGCTGATGCTGATTTTGATGATGATGATGATGATGGTTGTGGTGTGATGATGATGATGAAGATGATGTTGATGGTGGTGGGTATGATTATGTTGATTTTGAGGGTGATCATGATGCTGATTTTGATGGTGATGGTTCTAGTAGTGGTGATGATGATTACGATGATGTGGTGAGGATGATTTTGATGATGATGATTATGATGATGATGATGGTTGTGGTGTGGTGATGATGATGAAGATGATGTTGATGGTGGTGGGTATGATTATGTTGATTTTGAGGGTGATCATGATGCTGATTTTGATGGTGATGGTTCTAGTAGTGGTGATGATGATTACGATGATGTGGTGAGGATGATTTTGATGTTGTTTTTGATGATGCTGATGCTGGTTATGATGCTGGTGATGATGGTGCATTAAATGGTGATGATGATGAACTTTAGAAAATGGCCTCTAAGGCTATGCATTAATATGTTTAGCATATTTTGTGCAAAAATGTTGCATACATCTGAAAAGTTTCCGGACCATTTTGGCTAATGTCCTCCCTAGGGCGAACGGTGACCTAAACAAATCACGTACAGGCCATTTACATAAAACACAATGTAATCTAAAGCTTTAATATAGCGCGAAGTGAAACTGATGAAAAAGAGGACTCTCAGTGAGTTCTGATATTACTTTCATAATCGATTTGATTAAACGACGTTCCCGTGGGAAAAGCACGTATCAAAATGTCCTTGCGTCAGCATTATTTTCACCCTCGGTTTCTATATATGCTGTTGCATGGCAGTTAAATACTGATTACTGTCCTTACACACTGCGTGCCGTGTACACAGAAATCGCGAATCTATTCCGCTATAAACAAATTCATTAAAAAATAAACCCAATAAGCGGAAAAGATTAGCTCTAAATTCGTTTTAGCAATACCGAATTCTGCAGTAATTGTTCAAATTTGGTTGTAACACAATTGGTTTAAATAAATGAAATGAAAGTCGATTCTAATTAGTGGAAGCGGGGGAATCAACACGACATCTGAAATCGATGGCTAGCTACAGCGGTTCTTTAGCTGCTCTCTGAACTGGGCAAGAGGTCCTCGCGCCAGATGAACGCCTTGCTTAGCCCAATAGAGTCTTGGAATTGAAAGAGTGTTACATGCCATTAACGCGGTATTAAACTGGCGTTACTCAGATTGTAAATACATCAGAAGGAAAAAACGATTGTTACTTGAGCGAGTTACAACCGTGTTTTTAGTGTATTCGAAATTGCATTGATAGTCAACAGAGAAGCTATCTGTGATGCGCTGAAGAACATTAGATTTATGCTGCGGTATCGTGTTTAAATCGGTAACATTACCAATTGAAGAACCTTTCCAATTCCACTCAACAGAGCGATATAAGTAACCTAGCAGTCTTAATCACTTCTTGCTTTTAGCCACAGTAATAATGGCAGCATTTGAGTGGCGTTTTCATAGACGAAAACGTGCTTTAAGGGTCTAACTTGATAAACATTGCCGTGTGCTCCTGTGCTTACATCTTGCCTTGGTACTGTGTTCCTGTGCTAACATTAAGTCTTGGTTCTGTGATTCGGTGCTTACATCTAGGCTTGCTCCTGTGTTCCTGTGCTTACATCTAGCCTTGGTCCTGTGTTCCTGTGCTATCTAGCCTTGGTCCTGTGTTCCTGTGCTTACATCTAGCATTGGTCCTGTGCACTTGTGCTTACATTTAGCACTGGTCCTGTGTTCCTTTGCTTACATCTAGCCTTTGTCATGTGTTCCTCTGCTTACATCTAGACTAGGGGGTATGTTCCTATAATTACATCTAGCCTTGGCCCTGTGTTCCTGTGCTTATATCTTGCCATAGCCCTGTTCCTGTGCTTACATCTAGCCTTGGCCCGTGTTCCTCTGCTTACATCTAGCCTTAGTTCTTAGATCCTCTGTTTACATCTAGGGTTGGTCCTGTGTTCGCGGATAAAATTATTTTTGTATTTTCGTAAATTTCTAACGTACACCACCATTCGACTGATTACGTTATCTTGTACTTTGACTTCGCGAAACGAAGTTACAATGCAGTGACGTCATAGTCGGGTTATTTCATTCTAAGCATGCGAAATCAGTTTAGTTTGTATTTGATATCTTAAACTATGGTTGTGGTGATTGAAATCTGATTATCTGAATTGCTCGCGTCTTACCATTTATATCCCGGTGTATGGGCACAATTAAGCCACGCTCCCACCAGGAAATGTTTGCAGTATGTATTATGTATCGTTATGAAGTTATCAGGCCTAGACACATATCTCCCTCAGTCTCCGCACCTGTGGCTTTTAGTATACATTACGGCTTTAATCCTTCATACCATCACCAAACAAGTGTTGACACGTGTTCGAGTACTGGCCTGAATGATTGACACTGAACCTATATATATATATATATATATATTACTATGTTGCGGACAACAGTATTGATCATGTGATGTTTGTTACATACTGAACCTTTACATGCCTCAGGGATGATGCAACATGACAGGTATCAGAATATGGCTGCCCAAATGCTACATGTTTCTCAATCTGTCATCTGTAGATTGTAACAACAAACACATAACGTCATAATCGCTCTGGACGCTCAAGGGCAAGAACTCCTGCACAGAACAGATCAGACAGAATGATGGCTTTAAGAAATCGTGTGCAAACTGCCACTCAGATAAGGGACTGGTTGCAACAGATGGCATTTAAGTGCACGACCTCCATGTGGAATCCACAACTTTAAATATAAATTTGAGTCAGTTAGGCCTAGGACAAACGACGTTGGACTAATGCCATGTTTTCTGACGGATCCAGGTTCATTCTCAAAGTCCATGACAGAAGGAGTTTGCAGACCGGGGTTTTATCAGGGTTAACGTCGTACAGCATGATTGTTTTGGATACGTGTCCACAATGGTATGGGGATGTATCACAATGACTAGCCATCCTGCGCTGAACATTGTCCACGGCAGTCAGAGGTCAGTACTATCTGGACAAGGCGCTAGTCCCTGTGGCATTTACCGGTATGATGGACAACGTTTCATCAAGATGATAATAACTCATAGTGCCAGGTGTATAATCCAATTCCTCAAACAGCAAAACACCCATGTAATACCACGGTCGGCACTCCTTACTAATCTTTCCCAGCATTGAACCCGTCTTGCATGATATCCCTGTCAGAATCAAACCACTACTCTCAATCACTGGAACATACCTAGAATGACCATTTGTCATACCACTATACCTCCGGGCAAACCGAAATGTAGGAATATGTTGTAACTAGGTGATCCGTTGCGATCCGATAGAGGTTGTGCAGTTTTATCGTGTGAGTGGCTAGATGTTAGTACTCAATTTGACTGCAAGTTCTATTCTTTGCAAACTTTAGATGTTCTTTCACTGTTGAAAGAACGTGAACATGAACCCAACCTTTGATTACCATAAAAGCAGGTTTACGGAGCAGTATATGTAATTTCATGAACCAAGTAACAAATGGTACCCATATGGTATACGGAGGTTCTCCGAAATGTTAACTGTCTAAAAAAATGAGCACTTCTTTGGCTAGCCACAGAAGCTCTTGAGAATCGACAGGTGTGAAATTAAGTACCATGACAAATATAGACGCAGGGGAAGGCCTTTTACATCAATACATGGAGGGACAATCGAAAGATGTCTCTGTACCCATGAGCACGTATTCCAAAGGTCAGCCATCGGAATAAAATGACGATACTCTTAAAACTAAATCACAGGAACTGTGGCGGAATTGTACCTCCTCTTCCTGGGGATTACAGAGACAGGGCATTACTTACAGACCAGTACGCGCAAAACATCACCGTGTGAACTACAAACACGACTGTCTAATCTTCTCTTGGAGCGGGCACCGTGACATTGCAAGGTTTCGTGCAGCACATATCATTTAATAATGAAATACTCAAAGTCCGTGGTCTAGACTACCAGTTGTGCGACTTCCATTTTTGTGGAAGTCTGAGCGGGTTAGGCGTCTGACTTTGTGTGCTGGTGATTAGGTGCCTGATTCTGAGGGTGTTGGTTCGAATCCCGAATGGGACTTACATATGTAACCCAACAACAATACTAGAAAATGTACATTACTGAGAAAGAGTATTGCCCAATAAAACATTTGTTACATTTGACCACTTTCTAAATGGCATTTTGTATTCGAAATACTAGTGTGTTTTCTGTTATTGTTCAGACCGCTACCTCGAACGTGTTTAGGAACCATAGTTGAAGGGACCTATGTAATACTTTGATTATCCACCACCTAAATGATGAACAATATAAACATACCAAGATACCAGACTTTCACTTCGAGACAACCGCACCTTCAGCACATCAAAGTTCGACACAAAGGTATTTGCCCAAATCACGGCATAATACACTTATAGTTAGGTTGAATTAGACATGTGCAGGAATCAATTAAGGTTTAAGCGAATTTTTGTGTCAGCATAATCAACGCTAAAGTTAATTAACTGTATGTAAATACTGGTCCATCCGAGAAGATATTAAGAGTTAAAATGCATCAATATAGCAAAATGTGCCCCTATGTGAGGCGTGCCTGTTGGAACAACCAGCAACATGAAAGACGGGTTGTTCGTTATAAAGGCTGTAGGGAAAGGTTGGTGACTTCCTGAAGCCACCGTTATCAGTATTGTTTGTGACTGTCGCTAAAGACCGCCGAGCTAATTGCAACTTGTACATGTATTACTAGTATATTAAAAGAATGGTCAACTGGAATATGACGCACCTGTTGACGGTGTCGTTGAGCATGTAGTCGACGTATCCGCTCCAGGCTTTTGCTGCCACTGCTGCCCCCAGGACGTGTTCCAGGAGGAGGTTCCATCCTGTGATGAAGGCACACAGCTCGCCGAATGTGGAGTAGCTGTAGACGTAGGAGGACCCTGCCCGGGGGAAGCGCGCCGCCAGCTCTGCATGGCACACACCTGTAAGGAGACACGGAACCTTATACAGCCCTGAAGCCCTGTCAGACAACCCGGTGATTGTTATCATGAGCATCAATACATATGTTTGTTTGTTGTTTACCGTTGCACTCAGCAATATTCGATATATATCACGGGGATCTGTAAATATGCGAGTCGGTACAGTTGGCACAGTCAGACAACCGGTGATTGATGTCATGAGCATCAATATATATGTTTGTTGTTTAACGCCGCACTCAGCCATATTCCAGCCATATGGCGGCGATCTGTAAATAATCGAGTCTAGACCCGACAATCCAGCGATAAAAACAATGAGCATCGAACATTCATCGAACATGATATAAACTTTCGAGGTGACAAAGATCAACTAGGTCAGCGATCGTGACAACCCGATCCTGACCCTCTCATGACAGGGATGGGTTGCTGTAGACCAATTCCAACCCGTTTCTCCATTGCCTAGTCCCAGAGTCATGTCATGTCAAGCTCTGTTGGTTTGTTTGTTTAACGCCCAACGCACCAATATTCTAGCTATATGAAGGCGGTCTGCGAATCTTCGAGCCTGGACCAGACAATCCGTTTGGGAATACGATGACATGTATCAACCCAGTCAGACCAACCTGACCCATTAATCGACTTGTTAGACAAACATGAGTTTCTGAACACCAATTCTAGCCGTATGTGCCTGACTACGCAGACATAGTCGATATGCCATGTCATGTTTCTGTCAATTGAAATAATTCAATATAGTGTTACCTCGCTTTTTAACAATATTCCAGTAAATTTCAAAACCGAGGACACCAAAATAGTCTTGAATATACTAACAGTGACGGGAATCGAACCCGATAACCCTTGGCCTAATGTTCAAGTGGGATATAAAACAGGCTGTGCGCCGTGGTTATTGGATTCTGCATGTCATCAACCGATGCAGCCGAAAGCCACGATGCAGAAGCTGTTTGTGGAGATGCATTCCTATTCAGACCTCCATAAAGCTGGATTTCCGGGCCGACTGATGAAGACGTCTGTCAGATGACTGTTTGTCAGTTTGGGCAATGAAGTGTCGAGTTAGTTGTCGAGTATCGATTTAAAGTGATTCAGAGTATACATATCAGGTAGTCCACAACTAAATATGCATGTTGGTGAAATGGAACGTCATGCTATCAACAATGTTAGTGTATAGATCTCAGCCAACCAAAAAACATGTAGTGAAAGGCTCATCATGTGTGCTGAATATATTAATCGAAACTTAACATACCAAACTAATTAGCACATCAGCAAGAGTTACGACACTGGAACTACAAACATGACACGAGAACAACAGTCATTTCACGGGTACCACAGTCATGACGCGGGAACCACAGTCATGACACGGGAACCACAATCATGACACGGATACCACAGTCATGACATGGGAACCACAGTCATGACACGGGTACCACAGTCATGGCACGGGAACCACAGTCATGACACGGATACCACAGTCATGACACGGGTACCACAATTATGACACGGATACCACAGTCATGACACGGGAACCACAGTCATGACACGGGAACCACAATCATGACACGGATACCACAGTCATGACATAGGAACCACAGTCATGACACGGGTACCACAGTCATGACACGGATACCACAGTCATGACACGGGTACCACAAACATGACGCGGGAACCACAGTCATGACACGGGAACCACAATCATGACACGGATACCACAGTCATGGCACTGGAACCACAGTCATGTTACGGATACTACAGTCATGACGCGGGTACCACAGTCATGACACGGGAACCACAGTCATGACACGGATACCTCAGTCATGACACGGGAACCACAGTCATGACACGGGTACCACAGTCATGACACGGATACCACATTCGTGACACTGGAACCACAGTCATGACACGGGAACCACAGTCATGACACGGGAACCACAATCATGACACGGGAACCACATTCGTGACACTGGAACCACAGTCATGACACGGGAACCACAGTCATGACACGGGAACCACATTCGTGACACTGGAACCACAGTCATGACACGGGAACCACAAACATGACACGGGAACCACAGTCATGGCACGGGAACCACAGTCATGACACGGGAACCACAAACATGACACGAGAACCACAAACATGACACGGGAACCACAGTCATGGCACGGGAACCACAGTCATGGCACGGGAACCACAGTCATGACACGGGAACCACAGTCATGACACGGGAACCACAGTCATGGCACGGGAACAACAGTCATGACACGGGAACCACAGTCATGGCACGGGAACCACAGTCATGGCACGGGAACCACAGTCATGGCACGGGAACCACAAACATGACACGGGAACCACAGTCATGGCACGGGAACCACAGTCATGGCACGGGAACCACAGTCATGGCACGGGAACCACAGTCATGACACGGGAACCACAGTCATGACACGGGAACCGCAGTCATGACACGGGAACCACAGTCATGGCACGGGAACCACAGTCATGGCACGGGAACCACAGTCATGGCACGGGAACCACAAACATGACACGGGAACCGCAGTCATGGCACGGGAACCACAGTCATGGCACGGGAACCACAGTCATGACACGGGAACCACAGTCATGGCACGGGAGCCACAGTCAGCCATGGCCACAATGCCTGTATACCAGATATTGACCAACGTTAACTCAAAGGCTGATGTGAGAAATTTCTACCCTGCATCGTTACAAGACAGGTACTGCAAAGGGAAAAGATTGCGGGAGAAAAGACTGTCGCTCAGTATGTATTTGTGAAAAGCTGAGCAACATCCATCTCATCGGCCTTAGTCAATACGGCTGATACACCTGTGCGCTTGATTTCTTGTACAAAAATAGATTTAGGCTTCAAATTCAGGTAAACAATTAGAGATTAGTCAACCGACATGACTAATCCAGCAGTTGGGAAAAAAAAGTTTTTCATTATTCCTCGAGACGATACCAGAAGCTAGGTATTAAACCGGATAGTCTAAATCAATTCATGCCTTGAGAAACGTTCATGTCAGAATGACATGGCTCATCACAAGGTACAATGTATAACAAACAGCTCACGGAAGTGAAAGTTTATAGAAATTTTCTTGAAGGTAAATGTCAAGCATCGACCATTAGTGTCTGATCAAATACTGGGATGAGACGCTCTATAGTGAGTAAATAGTGTAAATGTGATCTCCTTCTGTTTATTGAATGTCAGTTTCGAGCAGATATGTAGTCACAAAGTAGTGGTCTCAGACTTGTACTAGTCAACACACGTTATGCAACAGAAAGTAAATAGAAACGGTTTCTGGAAACGATTGTCATCATGGATCAATATTCAGCGATAGTCAGTGTGTTAGTGAGTAGGGTGTTAGCAATATCACAGCAATATCACGACGGGGGGAATCAAAACCGGGTCTTCGGCGTGACGAGCGAACGCTTTAAACACTCGCCTACCACACTGTCCCATTCAATCGTATTTTACACCCAGGGACAGTCATTATTATGTCCGCCAGGGAGCGATCGCTGTGTGGTCTTATGCGTAGGGTGTTAGGGTGTTTGATGTTTTTCAAAAGAAACCCCCCAATGTTGTACAGTCAAACACCGCTGTGTCAACGTAAATACATCGTGATATCCGAGGTTCCACACATACGAAAATGTTGAAAACGGAATGACTTCTGAGCGTTTAACTCAAGGCAACCGAACGTTCGACACATCTAATGTTCGACAATCTAATGTTCGACACATCTAATGTTCGACACAATGGTACTTAATTGTATGTACAGGTATTCTTGGTATTTGAAGAACGCTGTTGATAAGATGAGAAAAATTGAAACAACAAAATTACTTACAGTGCCTCATAAATTGATTGGGTTGAAATACACAAAGTAATGACTGATTCACGTTTTTATTCCAGTCTGTCTGCGGTCTCAATTTGCCCCCACACAAACGACCTGATGCCTTTCAGGTCATACAGTATCATACAATATGTGCATCTTGGGGAGCAGTATCGATGAATTGGTGATGTGTGGGTTGTGCATAGAGCCCAGGTTACAAATCAGTTGAAGTAAAGCAACATTGGTCACGGAGACTCCGTGGATGGGTGACCGGGTTTGGCAGCTTCCTGAAAGTTTCTACGACAGTCCCACACCGAAACACGTGACACGTGTGGTCTCACCCAAGGCAAGTGAGTTTGACAAAACAGCCTCAGTTCACCCAGCAATAGATGGGTACCCGGTGGGATTAGTAATATGGCCACGAACCTTCTAGCGCCTCACATGCAGCTTGGCTTATCCGGGGTAATAAAGTCCGCCATGTTGTATGCGCTAAGAACGTACGTCGTGCAGTTCAACGCTATATATGCGGCCTTATGCTTATTATTAGAAGCTGGCTTAACTGCTGGATGTTGCAGTGGAAATACAGTCAGCTCGGGCAAAGTCCGAGACGCCCTGAGCTAGCCAAGTACCAATACCGATTCGGGACTCTCTGGCGAAGTCTGACATTAGCATCGCTTGTTTACGGTGTTACACTTATAAATTTGCTAACCCAAATGCTCGGCAGCCCAATCACCACGATTTAGTAACATGGGTGATCGATAAAGTAAGCTCCCGAAAACCGCTGAACATTGACCAGCATGTACATTTATCACATATAATCCTATTAGCCGGGATTAAACATTAGTGTATGCATATTAAGGGTGCATTGGTTATGCAATGTTTATACTTTCAATTTGCATCAGAGGATAATAAAATATTTCCTCTTAACTATTGGTGGTGTACTTCCGCAGGATCAGACACAAAGAGCGCCAGTGCCTAAAGTACAAGTCTGGGCCCTCATCGATCTGTCATATGATAAACAATAGAGCAAGAAATTTCCCTTTGAGATCAGAACCAATCTAGAAACTTGTGTCCGTGCAAAAGAGTCTCAAAGGGTCGATTCGAAACTTGGGTCATGGGTGACTTTCGCAGCCAATTGTAAATAGTATTGCTAGAAATTA